CAAATATTTGCAACTCCGTTGAGAATAACTGCTCGAAACTTTATTACTTTGTGTAAGTAAAGAGCGCAACTTAAGGTGACATTTCCACATTGAAAGTACAGGCATCTAGGAACTTTGGCCACTTTTAGCTCCTATATACCAACGTGATCCAAATTAATTAATCTAAAGTGTATTCAAGTACGCTTCTAATCGTTAAAGTGACACGGAAGCAATTTGAGACTAAATTTCGTGAATATGTATGTATAGACTATAGAGATTGATTATCCAAAACACTGAAAATCGAGGACTTGAGGTAATTAGCCAATCAGGAAATTGAAGACATATACCGTTATTAATTTAATTTTATTATTGACCATTAAATTATATTAAAATCTTTACTGCAACGCTATATACTATAGTTTTCATAAAAGTTATTGTAATATACAAATTGTCAAACATGCGTAATTTTTCCAAATTTTCCGATCACCACTAACACTAAACTGACAGTCGATGTTTTACATTTCACTTTAATGTCGTCATGATGAGCCACTCACGCCGCGCACAACTTAATGGTAATAGATGCAAAAAACAAATGTTTGACTCAAACAGTTAATAAGTACACTAGTGTAAGAAGATATTAGCAGATCGTCGCAGAATTTACAGAAAAAAGACTCTTTCATCGTGGATGTCCTTGAAAAACGGATACTGCATAGGTATACCCCTAGCACAGATTAACTACACAAAATCTGTGCCCCTAGAGAATAGAGATGATGAAGTAATTCAAACAAAATGACACAGAGTAGCCTCAAAATTAAATATTTTGATTCAGTAAATATACCGTTTTGGTGTTCCACAGTAATAATTCTCAGTGTCGTAAAAATTCGGAATGTCGATGGATCCCACAATAAAAGTGGTACGCGTTTCAATTGCAAAAGAAAATATTCCTTGGAATTGGTTTTCGATTTTCAGCAACTTTGTTTATTTTCCAAATATGTACGTCGTAACAAAGGTTTCAGGTTTTTTAATATAATACTGCATCATATAGATTTTGAAAAGTATAATGGATCAATTTTGCTTGAATATTTCACATAAGTGCTACCATTAAGGTGTATATACAATGGTCCTACCTAAAGGAACATTTTTTGCCACCTACATTTTTGTAAAAATTTCTCAGCCATAATTTGTCGAGAAAGGAAAAAATCATTGGAACGAAGTTCAGTGAGAAGATTTTCACACGGCAACAATGTGATTTCTAAAAAAATACGAATGGCATTGAATACCTATGAAAACAAATGTTGGTAATTCTGCTATAAAGTTAAAAGACCGCCTTCTATGGAATTTTAAAATGAGGATGATTTTCAAATATTCTCAGTAGAAAACCATAAATTAATACGTATTCTGTATGAGAGGATGCCTCAAAAGACAAATTGCATAATATAATGTAACGTTGTATGTCATTCGTTTGGTGTATTTTCCAATTACAATTACAACAGTGCCATGTTTATCGTTCTGTGGCAGGATTTGAAGAAAAATACTATAATTACCTTTTGTTAAACGTCTGTAGAAGCTGTCTATATTTTCTAGAGTCCCTAATACTTATGACTTTCAAATTTCTATATACTAATACGGAATGAAAACAACCCCACAAGCATGCCAGCAGCAATGCATTTTAAATTGAATGCGTCAGCAAAGGAGCGAGCTCTAGAAATGGGGTTATAATAGGAAGAGCACGTTCATATTGAGGAAGCTGATTTAATCCAAAGAAAGGTATTTCAGACATAATCCCATTTATTTTTTAAAAATTAGTGTTTTTGTGTGTGACAAATATGTAGGATTTCTTAGTTACCTTTTGGCGAAAGGTGTCAAGGTCAACGATTTGGGAATCAAAGAAAGATTTGAAATTTCTTGATCGAATCGAATTTAAACATTAGTCAAAATGTCGAACGTTCTGCCAATTTGGTTGAAATAAGCGTCAGAGAATTGGGAGCGGTGTGTTTATTAATTGAGCCTTTGTTATGGACAAGGAAAGCAAATGGTATTTTTTAAGACAATTGACCGAAAAATGTATTTTAGCGGAGCTTATTAATTTATAATATTTTGGGCACATTCTGTATACTATTATTGCTTCTCTGCTTTACATTATATCCCGCTAATTGATTATAAATGTTGTTTGGAATTAATATTAAGTACATCCCATTAGACGAGGCGTCTTTGAAGCGTTGAAGAGCGGCGGCGCTGGTAAAGGAAAAGGAAAGGTCAACGCGCGTGTTTCATTCCTCCGACACTCAGGGCCTTTCAAAACATGCGCATTTACAAGATTTTTCCGACGACACCAACTTGAAAACAATCGGACCAAAACTGTAGAACACTGCCAGCCAGCCAGCCAGCCAACCAGCCAGCCAGAGTGAGATTAAAAGCTACCCTTTTACAAATAAATTTGCAAAAAAGTGCTAAAAAGGAGAATCGCCAATTCTTCGTGCGCGACACTATAATTACAGAAAGAAGGCTAGGTAAATAATAAAATGACTTTTCATTAGGTCGTTTCAACTCCTATTATGGGCTACATTTATTTTACACAAATTTCGCCGAGAGTCAACTTTACGCAGTCCTTTCAAGTAGAAATTGAAATCATTGATTTTTTAAAATTAAAGCGCACGCTATTTCCATTTATGTCAAACAATTTTCCCGGTATTTTAATTTCCAATGAACACCGTTTCCTTTATCCTTCTAATTGTACTTCGAGACAGTAAAATACGTATAAGCCTCTCCAAAATTACTATATGGGGCCATAATTCCACAAAAAATCTCTTTACGACGACCTAAAATGGTTTCAACTTACATTGGTATACAACGTAGAATAATTCAACAATGGCGTCCGCGTTACTGGTTCTAATTACCGTCTAGGAGGAGTTCGGCGTGCTTTGTTAAATCTCGAAAGTAGCTGTTCGGAAATTATAGCTCGGATTGCATAAAGTTACTCGTAATTACTTTCCTTAACAGTCGTTATCAATTTGAATTTTAGATATAATTTCTTATATGTAACTACCTTTTCTTCCATAATTGAATAACACGTGTTAAGGGAGTCTTTTCTTGTATGAACGTATACTCTGTGTATGCATTGTGCAAATAGAAACAAATGTACCTATACGTTTCAAAGCCACATGAGACCACTGCCATTTTTAAGTATACGAAATGCTGTTGTTCTAATGTTTTACTTTACTTAATATTTTTAGTTTGCTTCTAGAATTATAATTCAAGAAATTCTAGTCCGACATCAATTTTTTAGTAACTTTTAAGTGGCCCTATCTACTCCACGTTACTGGTATGTATTTTTGTTTGCTATCAGGCCTTATTCACAAAAAAAAACAGAATTGTGCGATGCAATGGTGGAGAATAAATTTGATTTTTACATGTTAAAGGGTTTTCAACACGAATATATTCTTAATAATTAGAAACGAAAATACAAAGTGGTTCGTTGAAAACGAAATATACCTAGGTATATATTGTGATAGTAAAAGTAACGCCAGTTTTGAGTTTTAGTGGGACATCGTTTACTATTTACCCTCTCACTAACCTTTTCTTTTCTTAGGGGTAAATTCAGCGTTCTTCGAAAATGCATCTATAAATATCTGCACTATCTTCTCATAGTAGAAAATTTTGAAGTTTAGTTTCCTGTAAACCAATGAAATACCAAAAAGATAGAAAGTTTAAATAAAAATTGGAAATGCTGTTTTTAAACTATAAATGTTTATAATTATGTTACTTTGCCCTAGGAAACACCCGTGGGATAGTTTTTGGCTTTAAAGTTAAATTTTCTTGAAAAAATAAATCTTGCACTAAAAGTATAATTATTTAAGTGGTTGCCTCACTGTCATGTGTTAATTCACACCCTTCCTGATAAATATGATAGACCGAAATGGCGAAACATCAGTTGTTATCTAAGATCAATAAAATTTACTTTGGTGAAAACTTTTACTACTAAATGGTCCCAGTTAGAAACATGGAGTTTGACAGATGTCGGCTGTAACTTGTTAATCTCAACCTTTGTGATCATAAAACTAAACTTTTCCAGCATACCCAAAGGCTTGTGTTTGGACCCCATCAGTCATCTTTTACTCCGTTTCAAAATCGAGTTACCCATTGTTTTAGTTATTCCCATCTGCTGATCTGATTTTGACAATCATGTCTCCACTGTTTACAGCAGACCATTATTAACGAGCTCCTAGCGAGTTTATAATTTTGCGGTGTCTGTCCGTCTGTCTCTCATTCTGTCCGTTCGTCCGTCCGTTAGCACGATATTTCATAAACGAATAGACCGATTACGATGCAATTTTGCAGGTAGATTATGTATCAAATTTTTAGATTTTTAGAATTTTTAATGAATGAATTTTTAGAATTGGTAATGTAGGCCAAAAAATAAAGAAGGCCCTTTTGACATCTCCGTTAGTTATGAACCGAATTGCATAAAATTCAATATGCGCATAGCTTTAGCCATATCAAACGCAATTCCAAAAGTTGAGCCTAATCGATCATCATTTACAGTGCCCTCTTCGCATCTCGACCATTTATAAGCCGAATTGCAAACTTTATTTATTTATGAAGGTATTTAAATGAAATTTGATACACGGCCACTTGGAATATAAGCAAATTTAACGACAGTTTCAAAATTTGCTTTTGCGCATGTGCAGTGCCAACTTTCTTATTTATGGAGGCATTTATCTGAAATTAGATACATAGCCACTTGGAATAAAAGCAAATGTAGCGCCAGTTTCCAAATTTGGTTTTGTGCATGATATGCAGTCCCAACTTTCGTATTTATGGAAGCAATTAAATGAAACGTCATACGTATACGCTTTAAATAAAAGCAAAACTAACACCAGGTTCAATATTTGGTTTTGCACATGCTATAGCCATACCCAGGAGCTCGTTTTCTATATTTGTTTACACGTTTATTATTAATTGAAAAGTTATACCTTTCACTATGTGGAAACCATTCTAATGCATCACCTGGTTAATTTTTATATTACTGCACCCGCATCCTGACTTTATTCAAACTTTGTGGCGCCCTAACTCAGTTCATAATTTTGTGTAACGAACCCAAGACTTTGCCACCAGTTATTAACTAGCCGCACTTTAAATGGAGAGATTAACCTAAAAGGGCACTACAAAGAAAATAATTCGTTACTTACATCACGTTAATGCTCTGGATACCAATAAGTTACATACATAAATACGTTGTCGGTTACTATATTTAAAGTTTTACATCTCGAGGGTGTGGAGATAGTGTATTAATGGAGGAAAAGAGGTGGCAAGTGATTTGGTGTTGTATATTACACCATTTGCCGTGTATAACATGTTTACTGTCGAACGCAATTTAACAGGCGTGTAACCTGTAGTACTATTATGTAATGAAGGAAGTCATTAAGAGGGGTTTTATTGTAATTAAGAACGTATGCACTAGTTTCAAAATGGACGAGAATGGTTGCTGTGCGATGCGTGTGAATTACGCATCTCCTTCGCCGATTAGGTAACTACCTATTTGGGTTACTATTTTTTCTTTTTCTGGCAATTTTCATCTGGGAATGCTGTTTTATTATGATGAGTACCTATATTCAATTATTTCACAGGTAAAGTAATTGCACTATATTATGTTATGGGTATTCAAAATAGATAGTTACACAATATTGAGTGAATCTATTATGGTCAGACTAATTGTAACAACAACTAATGGTTTCTATACATGTATAAAATCTACATTTAAGTTTAACAAAAACCAGATGATATATTTTACGTACAATAACTAACTGGTCATATTCAATGATATTTACAATAAAATGCCTCTTCGACTACGGGCATTTGTCGTTGATATTATTGAATCACATAAACGATAAAACCCACAATTCACCTTTCAAGTACGAAACACTGTAATAATAGTAATACTAATGTATCTATGGTCCAACAAATGGCGGTATTACTATTATTTCCATGCTGCATTGCAGCTGGTTGTTCTCCATTCAAGACGTGAACAAACACACTTGCGGCGTCACTACTGGAGGGCGAGCAAGTATAATTTCCACTGTCCGTAGGTAAAGCTTTTGATATGAGAAGGCGGCTGGTGCGAGTTTGTTTTTCCGTCACCACATTTATTCCACCTCTTTGCGAGTAGTTAATGACATTTCCTCCACGGTACCAGAAAATAAAGCTCGGGGGATCCGGCGTTTGCAGTACAATACACGTAAGATTAATGTCGCTTCCACTTTTGATGTATAACTCAGCGTTACCCATTATCTTCGCCTTTGATACTGGAATCGTTAACTAAATTACACTTTGAAGGTGACATATTTATGTACATAATAATTAATACTTAATGTAGGTAGAACGAAACTATTAAGAAGAATTAAATTTGTTGACCGTGCAAACAATCTATCGGTCTAAGGATGAAATTAGATTCTAGGATCTCTAATTTCAAGGACCGTCAACTTTGAAATATGATTTTAAGAATTGGAAACTTGGTAACCACATAATATAGAAAGTCACCATGCTCATAAAATGGATGATCGAGGGCACAACATGATATGGAACTTGCAAACAAGAAGTGCAACATTTTTCTCCATCTTGAGAGCTCTCGACAAATTGTATTTGTTTTCTAGAATATAGTATAGGTACTTAATTTTATTATGTATACGGTCATTCTTTAGTGATGGCGCAACCACAGCTCGTTCCAAAAAAGACAAAGCATCCGGTTGAAAATGACTTGTTTGTTTCTACATCTGCTTGTTTGACCAGACATTTTTCGAATTCGTAGGTATGCTTGTGGTGCAGAGTGCATTGTCCTTTACGGACCGAGAAGCTTTATTGCCTGTGAATGTGATATGTAGAGGAACACTCTGAGAAGTTTAAACAGTCATCTCACCCATAGAGAAGGTGCTTTTGTTGTAAATATTTCGGTTACTACAGGTTGTACTGTGCACTATGAAAAACGTGCCAAAAGGAGGTACATGTTCGATTATGAGTGAAGTATATACAAAACGAAGCCCGATAATAGTTGCAAGGAAAGTCATTATTCTAGTTTTTTATCTGTCGGAAATATCTTTTATCTTGCACCAGAGATGCGTGTATAGTACATATGGAGAAGGTGACTAAACAACTAAACAAGCATTTTGTTTCGTTCCAAACCCAGGATGTTTCTAAGTATGATCTCGACGAAATGTCAGCATGTAAAAACAACCTCAAAACAACTTTTTAAAAACTGCAAAAATATACGTTCCCAATTTCACAAAGCTGCTGTCAACTCAATGCATAATAAAAACGAGTTTGGTCTAACATATTTGCGTTTAAAAGTGGCTCCACTTCCTTCACTATTTTAATATTATTAGGTACTTGTCTTTGAGAGTATTGCGGATTGCGAATATTTTAGTGGATTAGCCATGCCCTGTGCATCAGACAAATTTGACATTTTACTACTTTTCGGTTGGCGTTGTAGTTTACGTTATTTTCGCAATTCGAAAATTTCTCTACGACTGTCTTCGAAAGAGATACAGATACGTATTATTTGATCAAAGTAATCTGGCGTGAGGATTTCCTATGCATTTCGTTTGGTGATTGCGAATTGCGATGCCTCTCATATATGGTTCGCCCACTAGGTAAGCAAATTGCACACGCGTTTTGTTTTAAATTGATGCGAATGTTGTTGTATAAACTTCTGGGAATATCCCCTACATATTACAAGCATCAACAATTGTCCACCCTAAATAGACAGTGGTACAAAAGCGAGATCCTCAGCTATTATTGCAGTTCAAGTTTGAAACTCTCATTAAACTTAATTTGAATTTAAGATGTCAACGAAACGGAGAAGAGATTCGCAAGCCTTATGGATTGTTTCCAATTTTTCTAGAGCCTAATCAAAAAACGTGAACTGCACAGACTGTTTCACGCAATAACCGTTACCTAAAAGTATTCAGGCTCCCACTAATAATTTAAATCTGAAAACTTCCATAGTAACATAATTTTTCATGATCGTATCATTTCCGGTTTTATCGGATGTGGATAGCAACCTTATTATTTTAAATAGAACACCCTGTATTTTATTGAATTTTGGAAATCTACCTGAAATCTACGTCGTTTGGTGCCCTGTACCTATGACTTCGTTGATTTGAATTTTAAAGTCTTCCAAAATCAACAATACAATACAGACTTGATGCTATATGAGAATGATTTAGATTTTGATCGCTCTTCTACAGGCAATTTTAATAACTTCCAACCTTCAAACGTTGATTTTTTTTTTCAAATTAAACGTGTTTTATTTTTTGCACTTTCAAATGTCAAAAAAATTATATCGATAAATTATTACATTCCCTATACCTATTTGTTATGCTTTCCGTTTTTTCAGTTTTATTTTCGATTTTCTAAAATTGTGACCGTTATACATAATTTTCTTAGGAAGTCATGAAATAAATGCGTTAGATAATAGACAAATCTTTTTATGGTTATAATTGTCATTAATAATAATAATAATAAGAACGGAGAAGTGCCTGACGGATCCTGATGGAATGAGGAACACTGTGAAGTACCTGAAACTCTCTGCGTATTTTAGTAAAATATAGATAAGATATAGAAGGTGGCACTTACCCCGCTTACATCTTACATGGAAAAACGATCCTAGCCTGAAAACGTTTAAGTAGAAACAAGAACTAGTAAAAAGGGCCTCTAAACAAAAAAATAATAATAATAATACCAATACCAAACATGTATAATAGAACAATTAGTAAAGAAGATGTAAAAGAAGCTATAAGGAGAACAGAAAGGATCCAGGAAAAATATTAATTGATTCAATAATAACTGAAGACTGTAGAAAAAATAAAAGAAACTTATATGTTGCTTACATCGACTACCAAAAGGCATTTGATAGTGTTCATGGCTAACTCAAGTGTTGAATATCTATCCTGTCATAACAAACTACCTGTCTCAGATAATGCAAAGATGGACAACAAATTTAAAAATGAACACCAACCCTCAAGAAACAACAATAATATGGGGCGAACACAAATAAAAAGAGGTATATTCCAAAGGAATTCCTTAAGTGCCTTGTGGTTTTGCCTAGCCTTAACCCTCTGTCTAGCCAACTGAATTCTTTAGGTAAAGGCTACCAATTGAAACCACTACCACATGGAATAAATCATTTATTCTACATGGATGACCTCAAAATATACACTGAAAATAAATCAGATTTGAAAACACTGTTAAACTTAATAACTAAATTCAAATTCAGCAATGACTTTGAAATGAAATTTGGTCTCAACAAATGTAAAATCAACGGAATGAAGAAAGGCAAATGGGTAGAAAATGAAGGATATGAGGACAACAACATAGAAGGAAAAATGGAAGGAATGCACTTAAACGAAACCTATACATACTTAGGAATCGAACAAAAAACACAGTAATTACACACAAACAGGTCAAACAAAACATCAGAGAAAAGATAAAACATCGACTTAAGCTTGTTCTAAAATCCGAACTTTCAGCTATAAATACCTTTAAAGCCATAAACACATATGCCTTATCAGAACTTCAAGAACTGAATAGGCTCATTAGAACGACAACCACTAAATTCCGAAAACACCACCCTAAAAGTGCAGTAGAAAATTTTCACCTAAAAAAGAAAGAAGGTGGAAGAGGAGCCCTTGACATGGAAGAACAACATAAAATACAAATCAACAACCTGCAACAATATTTTATCTCTAAAGGTGACAATGAACAAAACAATCATCCAGTCAGGCAAATCATTTACACCACTAAACTTATCACAAGCACACGAATAAATACACACACACATACAACAGATAAACTCACTACCTGGCTTGCAAAGCCACTACATGGCAAGTACCCACATCTGCTCCAACAACAACATATAGATAAGGAGGCATCTTTAGCCTGGCTTAGGCATGGAAATATATTTCCTGAAACCGAAGGATTTATAATGGCAATTCAAGATAAAGTCATTCCAACTAGCTACTACCTCAAACGAATAATCAAAAATCTTAATATAACAGATGATAAATGCCGACTATGTCAAACTGCACCTGAAACAATAGAACATGTTATCAGCGGGTGTCCAGTACTTGCATCAACAGAATATATCAGACGTCATGATAATGTTGCTAAAATTCTTCACTCAGCAATTCTAACCAAAATCAATACAACACATGTTAAACAACCATACTACACTTACAAACCGGATAATGTCTACTCAAGCAATGAACACTTGTTATACTGGAATCGGACAATTTTGACAGATAGAAGTATTGCTCATAACCGACCGGACATAGTCTTCACCAACAATAAACCTGAAGATTACTTACCTCATTGATATAAGCATTCCACTGGCCGAAAATATAGAAAAAAAACACCATGGAAAAATTCAAAAATATTTAGAGCTAAGTAACGAAGTGAGAGAAATATGGTCCCAAAACACTCAAAATAATCCCCGTAATAATAGGCGCAACGGGCGAGATCCCAAAACATCTCTTTACATCATTGGAAAGTATCAGTATCGACAAAAACATCTACTTACCATTACAAAAGGCTGTAATCCTGGATACATGTAATACCACAAGGAAATTTCTAGGAAACACAATAGCAATACCATAATACGAATCAATAAAGAACATTTGTGTAAACTTGACGTAAAGTCCGTTACACAAACTCCCCGAACACGGAGAAAATTAATAACAATAATCATAATATTTTTTTTTCAGGACCCGACATAAATTCACCAGACACAGACACAGACACTAATCGTTACTTGATTTTAATCCGTGCGATTAGTTAACCAGGCTAGACCTGAGTTCTCCCAAGAAACACCGATAATAATAATAATATCTGTTTTACATGGACGATCTTAAATTATACTCTTCCAAAAGCATAAAACTTAATCACCTTCTACACATCACGGAAACATTTTCACGTGACATACAAATGGACTCGATAAATGTAAAACACAACACATCACAGCTGGAAAAAGACAACTTTTAGATTATGAGCTCGAATAGGGTCATTTTATAAATTCCCTGGGCGAGAATGAAACTTATAAGTATCTTGGTTTTCAGCAAAACACACACATTAAACATACGAGTATAAAACAAACACTTATCACACAATACCTACAAAGAATACGCCGTATACTTAAAACAAAATTACACGGTAGAAATACAATTAAAGCTATCAACACTTATGCCACACCAGTACTTACTTACATACTCTTTTGGGATTATACGTTGGATAAATACAAATTTAGAACAAGTACAGAGAAACACCCGTACACTATTAACAAACCACCATATACATCACCCTCACTCTTCTACTATACGACTTTACCTTCCTCGTTCGGGAGGAGGTAGAGGACTTACAGATATAAAACTATTGCACCAAACACAGATACACAATTTACGACAATACTTTTATAACAAATCAGATACTGCAGTCCTACACAATACAGTAACATATGCAGACAAATCTTACACACCACTTAACCTACACGAAACTAATATACTCCCACCCACATCCAAACTTACATACATTACAAATAACATACCGACATGGAACCAAAAGCCTTTACATGGACCATTTCCACAGAAGGTTGGCCAGGATTGTGTTCTATAGCAACGCACACTTGGTTGTCTGAATGTGATATCTTCTGGGAGACTGAGGGTTTCATGTTAGCAGTACAAGACCAGGTCATTAACACACGCAACATAACACATGATTCTACATACACACATGATCCACCGACCACAACGTATACAACAACAGTACTCGCTCACAACACGGTACACAACATACTGTAGTATCTCCACCTCTAACCCAAACAATCACACAAATACAACTTACCGAACAAACAAACACAATAAATACAAATAACGCAACATGCACTACAAAGACAGGCCCACTTGATAAAGGTACACATCCTAGCACAGTTAAAAAACACAATACTCTTTCACAGAATTTTTTATAAAATTACGCTGTTCGAGCTCATAATCTAAAAGTTGCCTTTTTTCAGCTGTGATGTGTTGTGTTTTACATTTATCGATTCCAAAGTCCATTTGTATGTCACGTGAAAATGTTTCGGTGATGTGTAGAAGGTGATTAAGTTTTATGCTATTTGCGATACGAGAAAAAGAGACCCCGATTTGGATTTAGGATACTTCGAACCGCGTGACAAAATTCACAGGGCAAGGCAACTTTTGGGTGGCCGAAGACTACTCCCCGACGACGTGCGCCTTGCAAAAGATGGCTTATTTCGCTTCTGCGAAAAAAAAAAAAATTCCGCCACGCAGGAGTTTACAGGATCTGTCCAACGACACCAATTTGAAAACAATCGGACCCAAACTATAGAAGAAGAAAAAGAAGAAATTGAAAAATCACCACGTTAGTAAACAGTAACTCGAGGATGGCACCCAGCTGTAGCCGACCCCAGATCATGTAGCCCCGTCCCTAAAGTTGTTAATTATACGGCCCCGGTAGGTACATATACAATCCTCGTCTTTTCACAAGCGTTCTTCTACGGGTCCCCATCTGCTGCTAAACCGGAGCCAGAGTTTGGAAAATATTGACTCTTCACAGCAACACTAACTGCAAGTACGAACTAAACGGAGAATGAGGTGCCGGAAAAGTCGAGACGCACATGATTGGAGTGGGGGTGGTTGCTTAGAGTTACTGGGGTTCACTCCGAAGGGCAGACATTATTGAATTCATTATGTCGTAGACAACCTAAGGGGTTAAAGGTAGATTTTATCCCACTTAGGTGGTGATTTTCTGGTGACGGACTCAACGCATCGACGCTGGGGTTTCAGAGGGTGTTTACTGTTTAGACTCTTAAAGCAAAGTACATTGCCAAATGTCAGCTTGTCTCTAATGTTTTGAACATTACACATACAACACGATGGATAGGCTCTGTGCAATACGTGGCCACCGTTTTTTTAAATATATATCCGATGAACCCAGTTGGTAGTCGCCTCTCGAATTTCTACGTCATCCATTTCATCAAAATCTCCCTAACTTCCAGTTTTTCACGAGGAGGACCTGGTGTGAAGTAAACTGTTCGTCACATATAAGCTTCATGTGTAGAACGAGCAGGCGCTCCGTCAAGTTGCAATGGAAGTTGTAGTAGTAACTTGAAAACCTCTGACGCTAGGTATAGGGAAATTTGGTATCTAACCACGTAGATTCGCATGTAGATATCGAAATTGCAACCAAATACAGGATGTTCTATTTAAAATAAGAACGCTACTATGGACATCCGGTAAAACCAGAAGTGAAACGATCATGATAATTTTTTTTTCGACAGATTATGAAAAACTGTGCTGGTGTAAACATTTTCAGATTTAATTCATCAATAAAAGCCTGTATACTTTTAGGTAACAGTTTGCGTTAAACAGCCTGTATAATATGTATATAAGTAAAGAATTAAAAAGTTTGGGATCATCACTATGGATTTAGTTTAGAGTACCTATATTTTGCTAATGTGGGTGTAAATTACATTCAACTCGAGTAAAGTCGAAAAATTGCAATTTAGTATCGATCGTGCTGTACCAGTGACAGAGTTCCGACCGATTATTTATTGTGTTAAACGCATACCGTGATTCGGAGTAACACAATATTGTTACGTAGGTATTAAATACACGGCAAGCATATGAAATTTTACTTACCAACAACGTTTAGTTTGTACGCTTGGCTAATTTTTGGTTCGGTGCTGACCTGACATTCGTATATTCCAGAGTCGCGGGTTTGGGGAGATGTCACTTTTAGAGTCCATTCATCTGATCCATCGGTATGAAGGGACTGAAATCGCTGATCGTTGGTATATGTAAGAATCCCCACGGTAAGGATGTGAAGGTCTCGTTTACGAATCCAGGACACCTGAAAACATACACTTGGTCTGACAGTTGCAGATGAAATTCAATAATGTTACACTCTCAGACACATTAACGTTATTCCCAATGTAACAAAAGCACTCGATTTTTTCCCGATACATCTATAGTTTGCAATTATTACTGCGCACACAATCAATAATTTAGAATTACTTTTTATAATCCAAACAACGGAAACCGCAAGAAAGATGAACACCACAATGAACAAATATAAAAGAATTTGAATATTTCCCGTTGCTACAATAAAGGTCTTTTCACATAAATACGAAAAAGAAACATATTTTCTCGATTTTTAAGCGTTCTGTGTTGTGATTCCATTATTCGAAAAAAAGGTGTTAAAGAATATGAAAAGAAAAAAAAATTAATACCGAAACATTGCGATTAAACCCAAAATACAATCAATTTAAACAACCTATGTCTTTTTTGTGTTACCGTTCAACGGTGAGATCTAAAGTTTAGGTAAGCGAAAATATATTTATTGCACCAAACTGACCCTCTGCTCATCTACCGCAATTAATTGAATCGTAATAACCAGTAATCCGCGTTCCCCCACCATTTGGGAATTGGGTTTAACATAATGTTTGACAATTTTATGCGCTTACTATTTTCATTAAGGTGCAATACTTCTGATGATATAAAATATCCCTTTGCAGTAAGGCGTGACTGGAATTGGAACAGGGGTATATCCTTATAATTTAGAAACGATCATCAGATTATCGTTTCTAAAATGTTTCATACAATCTACCGTTCAATTTGGTAATCGTTTGAGCATAACTTTAAACGACGTTAAAGGAAGCCGTCTAGGCGTCTACTATAAATTATAATATACATTATATGCGGTTTCGGTTGTAGATAAACTGGCGGTTTACATTTTACGGTGCGGATTTTTGGGAACATGGAGGTGAAAACAAAATTAAATCGATCGAATGATGCCGTTACTTTTGAGTGTCTATTAAACAGAAGAGAGTTTTAGTTTGAATTTCGGCAATAAGCATTTTTATTACTTATTGGTCTCTTTATTTTTGTATGCATTAACACCTTACTAATGCGTCGACATTTTGTTCCACTCTTTATTATTATCTGTCTAAAATCAATACGTGAAAAATAGGTCCAATTTACATACAATTTTATCTCGTATAATAGTGAATACATCTTTTGCTGCATTTGTAACGCTCTGAAATTGCAAGCTTGAATATACTGAAATGATTGCAAATAATTCAAAAGTGCATACTAGACTCCCAAAGATTTTTGCAATCAATAAATTTTAAGAGGTACCAACGTCCATACTTACTTACAAGACATGCCATTTGATCACAACCTTTTACTAATTGTAATTATAACTCAACTGCAAATGTATTACAGACATCGGCACGGATATTAGTCCGGATTAACCATTAGACAGAGTAGGCAACTGCCTATGGGCTCCGCGTCGACAAAGTCCTCATGCACCCATCAAAATAAAATTTTATTTGAAGATTTGAAATTGACGTTCTGTTAATTTAAACTGAGTAGTCAGCCAAGCATATGACGAGGTTTTTCTAATTTTTCTGCATTCTCTAAATTACACCATACAATGAATAAGGTAGTAAGAAAGAGAAGAAAAAATGCTTGCCGTTTAAAAAGTTCAAGACTTAAAAACCATGTGTCAACAAAATATGTGAAATAATTTCAAATGGAAGTGTTTTAAATTTCATACCTATTATATCAAACAGCTTGACCGTGAGAGCTTTTAATAAACACCGGCATTGTGACAGAAAAAATGTATTTTAAAAAGTAAGAAATGGGTGAAGTGAAGGAAAGGGGGCCCAGAGAGTTGCATTGCCTAGAGCCCCTGACAAGGTTAATCCGGCACTGACGGAAATAAATCCACTCATTAACATGGCTATTATTAAAAAAACGGGTAAACATAGACATTATGCTCTCGCAGACTTTTTTTGTAGCAAATTCCGTTCTCTACTATCAAATTCAATGGTTCAAGTAAAGTTGTTAGAAACTATCTGATAAATATATTTTCAATAAATTAGAGTACGTTACAACCTTCAATCTTAACAGTATTAAATAGAAAGCTGGCAATTTAGAACCATACTGTGGTTAACATTATTTAAAGGTGAATATGTAATTGCCCACTACATATTTTTAATTAATACATATTTTACCTGCTTATACTACGTAAGCACCTGGCTATGCAAAGAAGCTGTTGATAAAACTTTATGCAAGAGACTAAGAAGATTTTGGATCATAAAATACACCATTTGTATTAATACATGTCAGCATTTGCACGGATTGAGGGGGGTGCTAAATAAAATTTCCATCAAGTTTTCTTGTCAACAAAATCCAATATCCGTTTTGAGTTTGTCGTTACAAAACTTTGCAAATGACGTATATCAAGTGGCATAAAGCAACTGCGTGATTTGCGGATACTAAGGCAATTAATACTATCTGTTTATTTAATTTTAGGGGGTTGTCAATATCGAGAAAGAGCTGCACAAATTATAGGACGAGATCAAACCAATTATGTTTCTAACGAGGGAAATAAGATCATAACGTTAATGTTGTAAACTTGTAAATTGTAATTCATAATTATTTTTATTTTATTGACCGCATCGCTCTCTAGTGAAAGCAATCACACTATACTATCATCTTACAAAATCTTCAGATGTACTACTCCCCAAGGCTCGGTGGTCAATTAAGGACTTCCTAAATATCATCTTACACGACTCGAAAACTCCCCTTCATACTTACGTATTAAAGTATTTAATAGTGTACCAAAACACGTCGTTATAGGAATTTAAAAATACATGACACATGTTGTGAGTCAGTGATGTTTAGGTTTTTGCGTTTGGGTTGAATACGAATATGTGTCACTTGTGATAATATGGTTTGTTTCAGAGTGGAAGGCGTTTTGTGTCGTTTACTTGTGCTAAGACGTGTAATTTTAATGGGTGAATCTGTTGTAAGTTGTTTTTTTTTTCGTCGTCTGGTCTTACGGAGATGTCATTAAGGTAAGTATCTCTCGACGCTTCCTGTGCTGCTTTGTCGACTACCACGTTACCAGCGATTCCAACGTGTCCTGGTATCCAGATGAAAACTATTCTAATGTGCCTTTCTTGTAATTTGTGTTGTATGGTTCTTATGTTGTTAATCAGTGGATCTTTTTTATGCTTTATGTTTGAAATTCGTTTGATGGCACTCAATGAATCCGAACATATAATATATTTGTGTCCATCGCCGTGAGAGCACATCAATAACGCTTGCCAGATTCCTTAAAGTTCGACCGTAAATAAAAAATATGTTTTTCCGTATGTATGGATGGCGCTCCCAGTATCTGTTATCGTTTTACATCCATTTGTATATATTGCTGGGAAATTTCAGTTGTGGGGTAGCAATGGTGTATAGCGTATAGCGGAGAAATTACCTGTCTGTGCCACAAGATGTGTTGGCGAACCATCATTTGGTATCAGTAGGGCCTCATCATTGAGAATGGTAACTATCTCTTCTCCTTCTATGTCTCGATGAGTAGATCCCCACAAAGTATGAGGACTATTGAAATATCCCAGTAACAAAAACGGTTTAGGAAGTCCCATTGTTGGTCAGGGAAATACAGGGAACACAAGTATAGCGACTAATCCATGTGCCCTTTGGCCACCGGCAAGATCTCTCCTTAGGAGTTTATAGCCTCTCAATGAATAGGGTTTCAGTGGCTTAGGGTGAGTTTTATATATCGCTACACAAAGTGGGTCATTATCACAAGTAGGCGCTTAAGATTGTCCGTAATGATGAATCAAACCATTACAATTCAATTTTTTCACTTCTGGGCTCCATTTGTATATTATATATATGGATATAAAACGGTCAAAGCAGGGACAAGAAGACAGGTATTAATAACATGGAATTTAAAGAATTTGTATAATTAATTCGTTTGCTCTTTTTCATGTTCAAATTTGTATTGTGTCCTTTGTTTGTCTTTTTTAGTAACAAATACAGCTTTTAATGTGTCTACCAAACATGGTAGAAGTTCTTTTGCTAATTCTTTGACTTCTATTACATTCCTTACAGATAATACAGTCTTGCTATAAGACATATTTCCAATTGTAGTTGGCCTGACTACCTTCTTTGCTTCAATATAGGATATGTTTTCCCTCGCTTTAATTTCCTGTATGGCCACTTCTTGTTTATAGCGGGTGGTGCCTAGCGCGACGCAGCATAGCAAAACTTCAGGTAGTTGACTATTCTCTTCTCCCTCAACGACTTGATGTAGTTCCAGAATTTATTGGAATTCTTCCGCAGATCCATTTCACTTCGATTAATGTACCTCTTATGAGCAATGAGGATCATTGTTTTAAGTTCTTTTCTGGCTTCAATGAAGTGTTCCGATTGGTCTCGTAGGCAAAACTTATTTTTCTGTTTGATTTTCTTAATAATGTTTATATTAAACCAGCTAGGATACTTATGGGCACTGTTAGTTAAAATTAGGTCAACTGTTCTACGGAAGCTGACAATGAACGACTGTCCAAGATATTTAACCAAATTGATAGTAAATCGTACGATCAAGGCAGTGTCAATAGTCAATAGAAATTTTAAATATAATATACCTAAACATAGACTTCTAAGCATAGGATATCTTACTCATATATGACTTCTCATACACTTAATTTTTGGATTTATAATAAATTTGAGTCCCGTTAATTTTAAATCCAATTTGTTTTTACCTAGTAGGTCGTACTATTCCATTTAGTTTATTTATTTTTTGTTATCTACTAAAGACAATTTGTTTGCCTTATATTATTACTAGATCATTTTTGAAGTCATTCTGGGTGGTGAGTACAAGTACAAAAAATAAAAAAGCTTCCTGTTATGCTTATTTTCTCATTTAATATTTTTAGCAGTATACTTACAGCTCTATCGCCTAAATTGCGAACCCGACAATGTAAATGAGCAGTTTGGCCAACAGTCGTGGTTACTTCTCGCCTGGTGGAGTTGTCAAAATATGGTTGACTGAAAGGCTGCTCCCAATATGGACTATGGTCAGACCCCGCTCTTGTTCTTCCTATAACAATAAACAACCTTTTATTAATAAATCTATAAATCTATAACATATAAAGCGCATTATAATTTTTGTGTTTAGAAAACAAACATTTAACCAACAAAGATTTAACCAATTGTAACAAACTATCCAGGAAAAATGGCAAGAGCCCTGAAATTGGCTTAAGATGTGGAAGCGAAAGTCGCCGAAGATACCGCCAATATCGCATTCCTTAACGCACCGTGTGGATGAATTGGAGCAATACATCCTCCGTAATAATTTACGTTTTTTCGGAATTGAAGAATCTCATATATTGAACCAAAAGGAAGACACCACCGAATTAATAATTGACGTTGTCAAAAAGTTCCTTCATTTAGATATTGAAAAAAGTTGGATAGATCGTTGCCACAGCGATGAGAGAACAGACAACAATGGACCACGCTTAATCATAGTCATATTCACAAGTTACAGCAGGAAGTTTATGCAAATAAACGCGATATCAGGTAAGTGAGATCAGAACTTAACCACAACTCGATTATACCTTCTTCAATTGGATAAAACCAAACATTGGACGAGTAATGGGAAGATAAAAGGAGTGCTTTTAAATGGAACAAAGAAAACCATTACGAATTCGGAAGACATGAAATCTTAAGGAAGTTCCTGCAGATTTCAGAAATACACCCAATGCAACCGTTATCTCTAAAGACTCATGATACACCTGCACAGCAATGGATGAATGGATGATACCAAGAGTCAGCCGTCGTATAAGTTAATTGATCATGAATTTAATTTACATTGTCGATGTATGTATATCAGATTTCAGTGCAGGGTATACAAATCCTTTGTTGACTAGGATCAAGTGATTTAGCACTTCATGTATTTTGCTTTTATCTTTCTTATTGTATACAGGGTGTAGCACCTAAGATCCCTCGAATCATCAGTCATTTACCAAAAATTTTACGAAAAAAGTCTTAGAGCAAAATTGTACACAATTACCGCCAGCATGTTTCTAAAATATTTTTGATCACGAGGGGCGTGCTGTATTCCAGTGGCGTATCAAACTTGCATTTTTTTTAAATGGAACACCCCATATTTTATTTTTGATTTGGAGAGTACTTATTTTTATGCAACATGTTATACCCCTAACTTTAACGATTTCGCTGTTATTCCCTTTTTTGGGCAAAATTTGACAGTTATTTGAATTTTTTTTTGAAAGATACTAAATCGCACAGGCGGCTCATATTTGGACTGAAGCACAGGTTAAGACCTCTTCCCCAATGACATAATTTTTTTAGGTATAGAAAAAATAAAACTTTTGATTGACCTTCGCAAAATGTAATATTTTTTTAATATTTCAAATGCCCCCCCCCCCCCCTAAACAAATTATACTCCTGGGTAGTCAAAACTACAAATTTTCCACTGATATAAACAAAACCACACATTTCATAAGAAAATTTCAGAGAAAAATCATCTCGAAATTGATGTCATCAATACCCATCGAATTGCCTTGAATGAAGCGAAAAGGTGCCATTGCTTTGAATTAAAAGATAGCATTGCCTCAAACTGCAGATGAGGTAAAAGACCGAACTAGATGTATTGATTCGAGTAATAAACAGTGTGATACCAGTTATGATAGTTTTTGTTATTTTTTTGTATAGGTGGGGAAATGCTCCTTATGCACACTCTAGAAGGAAGTTCCAGAGTAGTGTGGGGCTCTCCCACTTGCTGGGAATACCGACTAAAACCTCAACTAAGACTTCGGCTGCTGAGGCCATTTGCCTATCTCCCTATTTATTGCTTTATATCATGAAGAGCTTTTACAAAGATGTAGACGAACAAGACAAACAAAAACTAAGCAACATTTACATACATACTAATATCACAATTCACAGATTATCACAGTTCATTCAAAATTCCAATGCTTCGTATGAATCTTTAAATACTAATATGGTCTATAAATATGACTTATCAGCAGACGAGTTAGTTGCATACTTTAACAATATCGCAAGCGTTATAGTTAGTTCCAAAGTGTAGCGTAGCTTTAGCGCACGCGGCCTGTTTGATGACACAGCTAACACATTTTTCCATGTTGTGCCATCTAGCAAGTGGTTTCCTTTTTTAGCATTGGAAATGCTTATGTTTTGTATGGGTTTGAAGTTACTGGTTAGTCGAGCAGAAAAGAAGACAATTGGTGTCGCATCAGGATTTAGGAAAACTCGCGGACACGGTCGATATGGTACTTACTTAACAGTGCGCAAGGGTTTTGTTAATTCGAATCTAAATTTATCGCACATCGCCCGTGATGGTATTATACGCATGTAACGACGCTTATTATTTAGAAATTTTACGATTGCGCGCCCATTCCAACCTAACCTATAACGGGCCTTTTATATTGACCTCACTAAACAACACACACATGAACAGGCTGTTTCAGATAAACGGGCACTGATATAAAATGTGTTTTTTTCTAATTCGAGCGCGGAGAAGCCATCTCTTTCTTTCCGAATGCTTTCTCTGTCTTTCACTCACTTCATTCGGAAAGCGCACGACCTGCTCAATGCTAATCAATAGACTTGCGCAAATTTCACACATTCCCGCTTTATTCCTTAATACAAGGAAAGCTGTTTAGAAATCGCCAGTTAATCCGTTTCTGTTTAGTATGTAAGAGCTCGAGATCTTCAACAAAACTGGCACTAAATTTTCCCCCATCACTACTTTATTCCTTAAACAGAAGTAGAAGTGCACCAGCACGTAACCCTCAGATTGTTAGAAGTTAGATAAGGGTGTAACATGATGAAATTTTTATCTAATCACCCCCACATTTTTGCTCAAAATTAAATTTTTTTTGGCTTAAATGTATCGTTTTAATGCCTTACACTACGTGGTTTATTATAATTTAAATTGGCTTAAATTTTTGAATTTTTAGACTTATTTTAAACAAGTAACAAGATCGCTTAATATATAAATACACCGTAAAGGAATGATTTGAAATTATTAATTCACGTAAACTATTTTTCTGAGCATATTGAGGCATCCATGATTGTCAATATAGTTCAAAACGGTAGTTTCTACGTTGAATAAATACTTACGTAAAGGGACAATTAAACAATCGATTTCCAAGATATGTAACGTTTATTAATTTCTTTTGTCCGTCTAAATTAAAGTTTCGGGTAGATTAAGTTAATTTATGGATGGTGATTACTGATTACATATATCCTAATAATTTACTCATTTCAAAATTTCTTCATCCAAGCGTTGTAAAAAGGTCAGGTTTCGGTCTTTAATTTAATCATGGATTTCGTGAATTATTATCGGTCTAATCATTGAATGTCTTTAAAATCGTGAGATTTAGCAATGAGGGTACCTTTATTGAGGGTGTACGACAGTTACGCTCGCTAACAGCGAATGCAGATTTATTCTAAATTCTATTTCCGTAGCATAAAATACCTATTTTTGCATATTATCAAATTACCGAACTTTTTTAACGAAAAGTCGTATGGAAAGTGTTACTTTTTCCACGATTTATACTATGCGTTTCCAGGCCGCTAGTCCTATCTATGAACAGTAGCATCAATTTTTGAGTGACAGTAAATCGCGAACGTCAATTATATTCAATTATGTGTTATTAAGGATCACTGTACAACAAAATTTCGTGTTCAACACATTTTGAACGTGTCTTTTTTTCATGACTCTCATTAATCAAACTGCAAATTCATGAAAACTTTCAAAACTAGTTGTACAAATAACTATTTTCGTGCGTTAACTACCATTGCGATTGCGAGGTCTTTTATTACAATATTATCGAATTTTATCACTTTTATGCGTTTTTGAACTTAAAAAGTAATGGTCGGTCTGATTGAATATTTATTCCACAATCATTAATTATCGTGTGTTCAAATGTAGAGCTCGAGAGTAAATAGTGATTTTGCTCACTTCTATATTCTCATTGTAGGTACACACCTATTTAATCATACTGAATTAGCTGCTGTAGATTTGTGTGAGTAGTTTCTTTTCTTTGGCAGTTGTAAAAGTGATTTTCTCATATTCTTATATCTGATATCTTAAGCTTGATAGTTAACACGTTCTCGAATTTTACCTTAAATTATTTCTAATAAAAAGCTTCATTCTTCATTGAAACAACAAAATAAGTACAAAAATATTTACGCCAAACTTATTTAACCACAAGATCTTCTCACTCCTATAGCAATATTGTTCTTTTTTTTTTGTTCTCCCCCTTATCTGCATAATACGTAAAATAGTTCTGTGTTTGCTACCGATTGCAAATAAAACTGTTAGTGATGCTATTAACGTCGCTAGTGATGTTTTTTTAATCGTAGTACTGGGTACTGGAGGTTTGATGATAGCACTACAGATCTACTGTTCTGGAATGTCAACAAAAGGTATGAAAGCAGGCTCATAAGAAACTCTTGTAACTAAGTCTATAGTGTTCTTGCTTACAGATAGAGAGGTTTTTTAAAAGAATACAATACAATATACGTAAACATTTTCCTATGTTACACGGGACACACTAAATCATTAGAAACTTTAGACCGAAGTTTATGGAACTTAAATAACAGATAGAGACCAATGTCACTCGAAATCTGGAAATTTGGTAGGTACCTACTTATTTTATTGTAATCCGGTTTTCTAATTAACAATCGAGCTTACATACAAGCGGTGTAATAAATGAAGCTTTATTCGGTACGAAAGCGCAAAATTAAATACATACGTTCATATCATTGATGTAAAATGTCGATGCACTCAAATTGATGAGGGTGGTGGGGTTCTAACGATGATATCGTTCTTTTTCAAAAATAATTCTGTATATACATTATGTCACATACATTTCTTAAACACCTCCAAAAATTATTGTATCAATTTTCTAACACCGTTTTTCTTTCTTTTTTTTTGTTTTTTGACGTTTGAGTAAGTATTTCTAATTAACAATATCTCACTCGTCTAAATAAATTTTGTTTGCCATTTGTTAAGAGGTAATTTAAGTTGGCTAAATTCACTAATACTTTGATATAGGTAACCAACGTAGAATGACATAACCCATATATTGGTAATATGGCGTATGTACTCGTAATATCGTAATGTAAATTAAGACGTGTTGTAGCGGCATCAATGTATAGGTAAGTACTAATGTAGCGCTATGTCCGAGGTTGTTTGGTTTTCAAAATTTTCTAAAACAAATACTTTTATGCTACTTCATCCGATGATGTTCTATTTTCTTAGCGATTCGTAATAGTGGTTTGCGGTTTGTA